GCATGGCAGGCTGGGGAATTCTGGGAGTTGAAGTCCACTCATCTTTAAGTGGCCAAGTTTGGACAACACTGATCTAATGACTGCAGTTGCCCAGGCGGTAATTGCCTTAATGGTATTTCTTCCACTGGGTTTGGACATCATCGTCGTCATCATCATCATCATCATCATTGTAGTAGTAGTAGTAGTAACAGCAGCACTTATTAGTATGTCTATATGTGTTTTTATTTTAAATGACAGGAGTGCACCAAGAGATGTGGAAAGAAGAAAGACAATTTGGTCCTAGATTCCCATGCATGCTTGGACTAAGTGGATTTGAAGCGGGGGCAGTTTGAAAATAGGATTCATATATATTCTTGTGCACAGTGTGTGTGTGTGTGTTTTTCCCCCTTATGTCCATGTTTCTTAAAGGATGCCATGCTGCTTAAACTGAGAAAGGTTTACTCCATTTCAGATCATCCTTTCAGCCTCCAGGCCCTGTTCATTTGAGCTGTAATCTTTTCTCTATTGATCAGAATATATATTCCCTTAAAGCAAAAATTCTTGACAGTATAATTTATAAGCACTTACAAAAACTCTCTGTGTTTCCTTTGCCATAGCTTCATTATTTAGGACTGAAATTGTTCTTTGTCCAAAATGTAGGTGAGGATCAGGATATCTCAGCCTGGTTCTGCCCTTGAGTTCCATCCAGCTAATCAAGAGCTTATATGCACACAGAGGCACCTTGCCTTCTTTCTATATTATTTATTATTCTGGGTGCAATTTAAGGTTCTTGTTATTATCTTTAAAGCCCTACATAGCATGGGACCAGGTTATCTGCAGGATCACCTCTTCCTGAGGATATCTGCCCATCCCACCACAGCAGAGAGGGTAGGTACACTCCAGATCCCGTCCCTCAAATAGTGCCATCTTGTATGATCTCAGAAGTGTGCCTTTTCCATTGCAGCTCCTGTCCTATGGAGCACCCTCACCCCTGAGATCTGACAGGCCCCTACCATTTTATCCTTCCGGAGAGCACTTAAAACTGGCTCTTCCCCCAGGCATTGGGATAGGGCGAGGCCAGGGTGGGATGATAATGAGGGTGCATTAGAGAAATGTGACTGCAATGCCAGGTTTTACACTGTTGCGTTGGTTGCAAGCCAGTCAGAGTTATTTTAAGATGGGCGGCTATATAAACGTTTTAAATAAATAAATAAATAAATAAATAAATAAATAAATAAATAAATAAATAAATTTATACAAACAGCCAGGCTAACTCCCACTGTACAGCCTAGGTAAGCCATATCTGGGCTGCGCAATTCGAATGATCACTAGATGGCACCAAAGTGCTAGAGTTGGATGTATCTTCAGTGCCATCTAGAGGCCATTTGGATTTTTATGTAGATATGATATTAATATTACAATAATCAATATTAGAAAATGCTAGCCACAGCAGTCCTATGCATCTATCTATCTATCTATCTATCTATCTATCTATCTATCTATCTATCTATCTATAGCACACAAAGTTTACTCTGCGGTAAAATTTGTATAGGAATGTGGCCTCAGTTCCATTATTGATAAACACATGCAAGATACCATATATAGTTGTGGATAAGCTCATCTGCAGATATAAGCGGACCCTTGAAATTTCAGCCAAAACACCATGAAAAATGTGTCACCCATGGATAAGCCAGCCCTTGAATTTTTAACTGCAGGTGGGAAACTGCAATTGTTATGTCATCATTTATAAAACCATGTGATATTAAGGCCATGACAGACTTTAAAAAATCTGAGCTCTGGTTCGCAGATAAGCCAAACCCAATTTTTGGAGTGTATTTTGGAACCTAAAATTCTCAGCTTATCTGTGAGTATATATCAGTGTTGTCCAAACTTGGCCCACCTTAACGTTAATGTTATTTCTATCCCTCACACTCCCGCCCACCCCACACACGCTTGGGGGTGCTGGTGGGTGGGTCGCGCACACTATAAAGATGTG